TTAGGAAACACATTATAAGCTCTCCAAACCCTAGCAAGGACCTAGTCAAAATATCAGTAATTCTCTATTATTTGTTTTACTGAAAACGGCTGCAAGGTCATATCCCCAAATCCATGTCTCTCTGTTGGGGTTTCTGAACCTGCTAGCAGACAGAGATTTAAAGAAGGCTGGAGAACTCAAGGAAGTTATCCAGCCTTCTTTAAATCTCTTTCTTTAAATCTCTTGTTCTCCAGCCTTCTCAAAATCTAACATGCATTACAGAGGATGTTATTATATGTCCTCTACTTTAAACAGACAACAAGTGGAACCAATGGTGCTTTGAATTCTGAACCAGCTACACTGATATGCATATCATGTCCACACTGCTGCTGGGAAAATTGGAGGTAGACGCTTTTTTCTGACTGTGCTCATGCACATGAACTGTTATTCAGTTAATTTTACAGATTGAGTTTTAGCCCAACTTCAGACAGGAACAGGAAAACTAGCAACAGATGGTGGTGGGGAATGAGGGGAGCTGAGGTGTGTAGGCATGAACATCTCTACTTACTGACTGTAACTGTTGTGAAACAATCAGGAAATAGCTTTTTATTTATCTGATAACAGTTTTTTCAAGGCTGGCGCAAACTCTTTGTTATTGTTACTCTGTGTCTGTCTACCAAAGTTCTCTCTCCCTTTAGATAACAGTATAAGAGATAGTCAGTGAATCCACTGACATAAAAGGCTTTCTGTGGAGCTTTGACCGATCTCAGAGAGCGTTTTGCTTTTTATTTCTAGCTGCACCTGATAATCTTCAGGATCCAGTTGTGGATGTTTTGTGGAACTTTATTGCAATTTAAATCAAATTCAGCTCTGATTCGATTTCCATTACCTGTGTTTTGTGGATTGAGTGTTATTTTAACTGCATTTCTTTTGATTTGGGAAGTGTCAACCCGGTTGGGACAAAGAAGTGGGTGGGTGGCAAAAAAAAGTTTGGCAACCGCTGTGTGTGATTTTAATGTGGCATTAATGAACAGAAATGGTACAGAAAAATACCTAAAAAAAAACCTTAGCATATTTTGCTCCCTAAATACTAATTGGGTACAGACTAAACCCAACTACCTACAGTTCCTGAGTATTATTGCTATCTATGTCTTTCTGTTTTTCACAAATGACTTCTTTTTGAATCTCAACAACAATGACTTTAGGCAGTTCTGAAAGGAAGAAAGAGGGAAAATGCAGTGCCAGCCTTGATAATAATCTGGCCTGTTTGTATGGGTCCCAATTATTGCCAAAATAATTAACAACAATAATGCCCTCTTAGGTTGATGAAATCTGGACCATTAGGAAAAAGCAATCTGATCCAGCCTGAATAATGTGTCCTACTCTAAGCCCATGCATGTCACTTTCCATCCATAAAATAGCTGATTAACATTTTGATAAGAGCTAGAATTGTGTTTTCTGTAAGCATTAGTCACATCCTTGCAGGCACAGCTAAAACACGCTTACTGTTAGCTATAGTATCCTGTGGTTGGTTTATGCTGCTGATACAATGAACAATCTTGTAAAGGTATGAACAAATATCCTATTATGCAGAGTTCAGGACCTGCGAATCGATGGTAATCCATGAAAGATTATCGCCGCTTTCAATGTCGAGGTTTGTTCGCTTGTTGATATTTCTGTGACAGTCAACATATTGAGGGATTTTACAGTTTCTCTCTCAGGCTCCTGTGTTTTCTGTTTGTCTCACCCTTCAAAAGAATCCACAATGTGCTGTTTATCAAATGCTTTCAGAAGTGGCACACATAAAGACAAAGAGCCAGGTAGAAGGGAATGAGCAAACGGGTTGTTGCTTGCAGGGCTGCCATTGATTGCCACAAGCTATTTATTTATCCCTTGACATAGATATCATCCTGCAGGAAACTTTGCCACAGCGATTGTCTCAGAAAGTGAAGCATTCTCCACCCGCGGGGCATATGAGAGGTTGGTCGAAATTATGCTATTTTCCTGCACCACCAGTGAGCAGCAGTAACAGCTCCCTCTGGGAGTCAGTGTTGTAAGGGGAGGAAAAAGGGGTTTATCAGGAATGAGAGCCCTAGAAACAGCTCTAAGTCACACGCAACCGCTTTAATGGCACACGATCAGACGGAAAGAAAGAGGGCAGCTCAGGATGTATTGTAATGAGAAGACTTTACAAAGGGGTTCTTGGGGCCTCCGTGACTGCAGTGCTTGAGCTCTCACTGTGGCCTGTTATAAGATAATGGTTTTGTTTCTGATAAGAATAAAGGGCAAGGATTAAACGCGAACATTTCTTCAGAAGCTATTAATGTAATCTCATGTTGGATTAATTCTTAAGAGTAGCAGAAGTGCTGAGGGCCAGCATGAAGTTTATGTTTTCAGTCCCCCCCCAACCAACCCCCCTAATTGGCAGTTCAAAATGTAATTAAAGACACTTTGCCTGAGTGAGTTAGAAAACATCAGCAAGAAAGCATCCAACATCTGACTAGACTTCATCTAAATCACAGACATACTTATTAGTTTGTATAAGATAAGCTATTTTTAGACTCTGTGTTTTTTTGGGTTTGTATTTATGTGCTTACTATCTTTTGATATTAATTGCTCTTTGGATTCTTTATTTTAGGGTCTAAGTGTCTCAGCTCCCTGCATTCCCTAGCTGTCTCTCCTCTGCTAAAGTGGCATTTCTTAGTTTTCTCAGTCAGAGGTAGATTCTCTCTTTTTGCTGCCAGAATGGATTTATTATTTAAAAGAAAACTCCATGTACATATCCAGGTTTCATCTTTGTGTTTGGGTGCTCAGCTACACAGAATAATGATGTTATGTGTACAAATCATTGCATTTTTACAACATGTGAGTTTTGTTAAGCTACAGTATTTGTTGTGTGACTTACTTGAAGTTTTGTGGTTTCTATTCCAAACCACTAACTGTGGGGTCCATAAGCCAATTTACATGTCATTTGAAAGTATGCTTAAGATTATTGTCTATTTAAAGAGCCCACATGGACAATGCTTTAGATTTAACTTGGCTAAACCTGGCTGATATGTTGAAATATTTTATAAATTTTCTCTCTTCGCAATGCCGCTTGCTAAATAGTAAATTATCTGTACATATAAAGTGCTTTTTCAAGACAGGAGACTTGACCAAAGCACTTTTCACCACATTAAGTCATCCATGCATTCACTCATACACTGATGGTGGCCAGCTACATTGTAACCATAGCTGCCATAGTGATCACTAACAGTATATGCGCACCATCGTGCCCTCTGACCACCCTCAGTAAGAAATGTGGGTGTCTTGCCTTAGGGCACAATGACATTAAAAGCCGTTGCTGGAGTTTGAGCTGACGAACCCGGTCGCAGTGCAAACTCCTGCATCCGATACTGCCCTTGTCTACCCGTGTAACAGTTCCTGTCCCTTCTGCAGAATAATACCCGCACAACATGGAGCCACTACCTGCATACTTTAGATTTAGGTAGTTTTCTTTATCTTACTCAGTCTTTCAATGTTCCCCACTCTTTCCACAAAGTATAATTTTTATTATTTTTACTTCTGTAAGTAAGCTTAAGTTTCTCATAACAAAGAACATCCCATCAGAAACCAGTTATTTTGCCAGGAACTGTTGCATGACTTTTTATATTGATCTTTGGGTAATAGCTTCCCTCTCACCTTTCAACTTATGTCAGAACACGTTAAATTCCAGCATTTTTGTACAAGGTGTTTAGCTTTATGATTTGCAGTTTGAAAAACATAACAGAAACTCATTCAATCAGAATTTAGGAGGTCAGTATCACTTTATATTATTCCTGATTTCTTTTGGGTTTCCCATGATGTCACAAGAAAACATTAAGTTTGATGTGCTGTTTTGAAAAACATCTACAAGTGTCCATACATCCTACCAACATGTTGTGAATCAATCCATAAGAGGATTGTAAAGCTATGACCATATATTCTGACCTTTATCAACTTGATAAAGCCTATAGGAATCTTAGAGTATGTACAATTCTGATAAAAGTAATACATACATTTTTCAAGCCCTTTGCTGTCAGATAATATTAATTTTAAAAGGTCAAACATACAAACATATTTTTCAGTGTAAGCATTAAGTCCATTAGTCTTGATTTGGAGTGGGGGATGAAATTGGGGTACTCAAAAGGGGCCAATGCATTTATCCAGGAGGAGGAACAGGAGGAACAGGAGTGCAAGTTAAAAGGTTTATAGGTTTGTTGGTAATAAGTCTCTTGTGAGAAACAAGAAACTGTTATAAACTTTTATATTTCAGATGGTCAACTTTTGAACAGCAGTTTTTTGTGCTTAACTGGTATCTGCAAGGCAACAGCCAAGAGACTGATGACAGTACAACAGCTCGATTCTTGAGAAGAATCTGGAGTTTTAATCTCAACACAGGCCAGACTAACTGAGATCAGAGGGAAATCTGTGAGACAAGCGGGAGAGACAGAAGCAGTTTTAGGTAGAATAATCTTTGGGCTAGGCAAATAGTGTTGGTCTTGGGGGATAGACTGTAACTGTAAGCTAATCAATTAAGGCCATTAAGGGTAAAACTAAACAGAAAAAAATCATTTGGAAGAAACTTGGTCAAGATTTGGCAGGTAGCCATCCAGCCAAGGAAAAGAAATAACGCTGAATATTAACTCACACAAGACTTTTAGAAATCTGGCACTGCCCGTTTATCAAGCCAAGCTTATAAAGAGCAGTATACGTGAAAGAAAATTCAGACAGACCAGTCAGAATAATAAAATATACAGCAATAATGTAAAAATATTCCAGACTAGGATTTCAACTAGCATGTTTATATTGCAAGGCAACAGTGCCTAGGGTCGAACCACCATGCTGCCTAAAACATAAATGTGGTATTTACCAAATATAAATTATATTGGTACTCCTAATTGGCCCAAGGCAAGGAATTTGATTCTAATTTAATCAAAAAGTAAGGAAATGCTTCTAATTTTTGTCACCTTTTCTTTTTCTTCTTTTTTTTACCTCTGCAGGGTTGCAGCTCTCATGGACCATCTTTTAAGGGCAATGTTGTGGCACCAGGCTCATCCACAGTCACCCCACCTGTTCTCAGCAAAGCACTGTCAAAAGGGAAATGCTTCAGGTAAAAATATGACATACTCTTATTGCCTGCCCTGTTTCATATCTTCCTCAGCCCGTATCAAAATATAAGAGGCAGCCAAGTGAGAACTTTAATCAACCCAGCAATATGATATAATAAATGGGCTTCCAAATAATAAACAGATCATTTGTTAAAGGAGAAACATCTTAGAGGGATTTATGAAGATTATAAATGGGGGCAACTGTGGAGGTTTATTTTTCAGATTGCCAACTAGATGAGTTTTATTTTTCTTTATAGGAGGGTTCACTGGTTCATACAGCTTGATCAAATAAATAGCAGAGTGTGCTTCAAATAAATCATAATGCAAATGCATTTATAAACAACTTACTTTATATACTCTTTATTTTCTTTTAAGATTATTTTGTCAACACCTGCATAGATTTAATAATACTGGAGTAGTAATTAAATACTTTATTTCTAAGTTGAGTGTAGCACAGCTCTCAACATTGTATTCTACCCGTCTTAGTCCTAATTTTGCTGAATCTCTTTTCAATTTGATAATGGATGTAAGTCTATCGCAGTATGTCTCCACCATTTTCTAACAAAAAAGGTTAAGCTCTGGCAAAGTCCAAGAAGAGAATATGTGCATATCAAGTTTAAAGTCTTGTTGAAGTCTCAATTTAATTTTGATCACTATAGAACATATCATTCTAATGCATGGATATGGAGGGTAATTGCAAGATCAAGTTATAAACTGTTATAAACTGTTCAAAATATAATCATATGAACTTTATCCTAGACTTCTATTAATTTATGTCCACTTTTAGAAAATGAGAGAGCAGCATTTCTATGCCCTTGCTGAGATTGTAGGTGTTAATACCCTATGATATAAACATGATATTATTTTTAGGGGTAATGAAGTAGGGTAACATGTTATGCTTAAAATATTGGTAACAAAATAATTATTCTATACAATAATAAGAGCCGTTTCTAAATATGTGTACTTGTGCCTTTTCATGTGCTCGTGTACTCGAAAGACGTCATCAGCTACACCCCTAGTACTGTTCCAATTCACAAGAACAAGAAGACCAAGAACGGACAAAGTCCCCGGTTTTTGTCCTCGCCCCTTTTTCTTTACTGAGTATGCATCAGAGCAGACTTGTCCGTTCTTGAGATTGACAGCTGTCCCAGCATGTGCATCAGCAGCAGCAGTTTTCAATGGTGCACTCACAGAGCTCAGAGTATTAAGTTATAAGATCTCTTTTCTGTCACCGTTGTTCTATAAAAGTACATTTTGAAATCATTTAAGGTGAGAACATTGTACTTTTAAGCATCACTATATGGCCCATTTACTGTTTTAGTGCATAATTTAAAAAAAAAGTTCCAAGCTTGAGAGGACCACGGCAACCAGTGGACCTCTGCCAGGGCTAATTTTAGTTCATCTGCAGCAGCCCTCTGTGAGTACCACTGACTCTGATGGAGATTTTTTTGTATTATTTGCCTCCGCTAAATAAAAAAGTAAGAATTTATTATTATCTAGAGATTTTCCTGTGTTCTTCTCAAGAACGTATTTGGCGTGGACACGATTCATACTTGCGTTCTTGTGAATTGAAAAAACAGCCAAACTGCCTTTGTTCTTCCTAGGGGGTGTTGCTATAGAGACAGAGTTTTGTCTTAGTTGATGCAACATGCAACAGAAAGAAAGAGTTACAGTATTAATGATTAAAAAGTTACTGATTAGGTTTTAGAGTACAACTACCCAAATACTGGACATAAAAATAAGAAATCACAGCAATGCAACTAGCAATGTGCTTTCCAAAAGGACTTTATTCCTGATATGCACAAGATGATTTATTATAGACAGGTTTTATCGAAAAATCTTTGGTGTAAAAACAGGAACTATAGTACTATAGTCATTGATATAGGGCGAGTTTGAGTCGATGACAGAGTATTAAAGTGTGTACAGTCACTGTGTTTTGTGTAAAAGCCTAACTGGGGACAGACATTGAGAATTAGCCTTAGCTAGAATGTTGTAGTGTGTGACATGATGCATGAAACATACTTGTCCCTATCAAATAAACAAATAAATAAAAAAAAAATAAAATAAAGTGGGAGAGGCAGCTGATTTTGTTGGCCGAGCAACTGCTATTGTAACTGTCAAAATGACACATTTTCATAGCGCTGACTTGAGGTCCACAAACGGACAGGTCCCTCATGTTTATGTGTGAATAAGGAGGTAAATGTGCTTGAACGCACAGTAACCTGGACCGTCACACCTATTAAAGTTGAGTAATGCCTAATTTTAGCGTAATTTTGACTGTCATACTGAGATGCACTGCTGAGAACCCTGCTTTTTGACCTGGGGCTTCTCAGTTAAAATTAACAAAATTTCTTAGCGGATATATATCCCCTTCCCTTTGATGTGAATCTTAACTCTAAGTGTTGTTGCTCTTGAAACACAAGTGGTTTTTAACTAATAATAGTTCTAGTACATTTCCATGAGAGAAAGTCCTTTTATTTACAGATGCCTCCTTCAAAGCTTGGTTTAGGTAAACTTTTATTATCAAGTTTTTATTATCAAAGTTATATACTGAATAGACTTTAATACATTGATAAGCATATTTAAAGAGTTTGCACCCGAGTGCAGCTGCTGTAGATGTCTTTGCAGTCTCCATCTTGATATGGCAATGCAAATACAGGACAAATAGAAATAGAGAATCCCTTCATTGGCCCACAATGGGGAAATCTTTTTATCTTTATTTCTTTTAAGAAGAAAAAAAATTATAGATATAGAAATAAATGCATCTTTAAAAAAATGCATCTAAAATTATCTGGTAGATGCATTAGGTATGGACTTTAGGAGACACGGTGGACCAAAACCAGCAGATGACATGGCATCTTAAATCACCGCAGGGACCCTGATTTCCGAATAAAATGCAATCTTAACTGGAATCTGAAAATAGGACTTTGGACCAATGAGCATTTTTTTCCCTCTCTCTCTATCCCAGATGGTTCACTGTCTCATGATTTAGAAATAGGCTGACACATGGTATGGGACACTTGAGGCCCATATGTAGATCCATCTTATGAAGCTCACCAAAATTCTTGACTAACAGTCCTCTCAAGGCTGTGGTTATTTCTGTCTCTGTTGTGCTTATTCCTTCAGCACTTTTTCCTTCCACTCAGCCTTCCATGTTATTAAGGTTTTCACAAGTCGGAGAAACTAATGTTTGTATTTTCATGAACTGTAAAGAATAATTTCGATTAAACTAATTATACTATTTCACCTATATGCAATGATTCTGTAAAAGCTTAATTTTACTTTCTGAAATTAGTAAATAAGCAATATGTTTTGAATATTTAAATATTTTAAGTTGTACTTCTGAAAAAGCAGATTAGGATTTGGCTCAATTTATCTTTCCACCCCATACTGTATTCTTAAATCAGGCTGTGGCACACAGGTTGGGATGAAGCAAACCAACTTTGTAGCAAAGGAGGGTAGAGCGAAAACTTGAATTGGTTTTTTTTTTTTTTTTTTTTTCTTGCTTAAGAAGTATACTCAGACGTAACAAAAACTATATAATTTTGTGCAACACCAAGGAGCAATCTAAGTATTTAGGTCAAAATAGGAAAGAAGAAACATAACCTGGTAATAACACTGGAGTCAAATGCCAGAGTTAAAAATCAACAACATTTAAACTGGAAAATGCCTTGAATACCTATCTAATTTTAGGAACCAAGTCCACTTTTATCCGTTGTTTATATCCTAAATCCAAATGATTGCATAAATCCTTTATGATTTTTTTTTATATTGAGGTTATACTCCATTTGACTTATTTTAAAAAGCACGCAACTTCAAGCATAGTTGGTGCTGCTAACTGGACAGAAATATGAAAAAGTTAAAGGAATATAAATAGCTAAATCCTAGAGGACAACAAATGTGTGAGGTTCTAAACAGTAAATATCAGCAAATTCCCCCTGTCATCTTGTATTGGAGAAAGATTTAACAAATTGACAACATTTAGCTACAAGCGATCTGTATGTCGGCTTCTCTTTGTGATCACAGCAGACAGAATCAGATCCTTCCGTTTAAAATCCTCAGGGGAGCCCAGGAATACTTAATGCAGCTTGCTACAATGGGCCTGTCTTTAATGTTCCCGCACAAATTTCACTTCCTTTGGTGATATGGGTATACTTTTATAGCACAAAAACATCCAGAACCACAACCTACAAGATCTCTTGCTCTGTTTATTTTTTTCACTCAGCCGTTGCAAGTATTTATTCCTATGAAATATTAGACACCGACCAATTGCTAAAAGCATTTAATTGCTGGTAAATGACTGCTTGGAAGAGATAGCCTTGCTGTAGCTGTGTCATATAATCATAGTGGATAGAGGTTGGGTTATGCCTTCCACAAATTTGTGTAAACCATTATTACATTGGCATCTTTTAGTGTTTTCTTAGCTGAAGATGGTTCATGGCAAACCAACAATGATGAAATAAAGTAAAGAAAGCTGTGTCTGGGGAGGGGGTTTGTTGCCCAGTTCAAATATTGTGTGTACAGACAGTGGGAGTTTTTACAGGTCTGGTAGACAATGGTGACAGCCCCACTGTGGGGCAGTTGTGCTGTGTTTTAATGGACCAGCAGCGTGTCGCAGAAGAAGGTTTTTCAATTTTTTTCCCCCCTCTTTCTGAAAGGTTGTCACGCATTGCTGCAGGGACAGTGCTAACACCTCTTGGCCTTTTCTCTTCAGTGTGGTGCTACGGACGTGTCCCATGAAGGGCAGCTGACAGTCAATCATCTGTTCAAACTCTTCTCTAAGCCTCTGGAGGAAGGGGAGAACTAGACTGTGATGGATGATGCTGAAAGGCTTTCAGCCATTGACCTGAAAAACTGGAACACATTGTGAGCTATCAGGAGAAATACCCCATACTAACATGTCAATATGGCCCCCATCAATAATACGGCAAATGTTTACCTGTGTGTACGAGGCTTATCACTGGGAACGGGCCTGTGCAGGTTGACTCGGTTGTTTGAAAGC